TCAGGGGAAAAAAGAAAGGGAAGAAATCATCATCCAGCAAGAGAAGAACACCTCTTCTAGTCTACACATCACCCAGCACAGGACGTCTTACGGGCTGGGTGTTCCGGCACACTTCTTGCTGGGTCCTGTTGGGTACCGACAGTCCAACAGGGATTTGCAAACAGAGCACAGTATTCCCACGACAAAAAGAAAACATGGAACCTTTGAGATGGAAAACGTCCTGGAGAAACAGAGCAACTCCCCTGCCCTCCATCCCCAGACCTGTACAAAAGGGACAGACAACTCTGAGAAGTCAGGACGATGTGCCAGCTGGATATTTTGCCCTTGGCACTGTCTAGTCAACTCACGCTGACAGGCCAGTATCCACGTGTGGGCAGGTAATTAAATCATAAACAAACAGGTGAGGGACCAGCAGAAACAAGGCAGAGCCTGGAGAGAGGAAGAGGTCTTTAGAGGTTGGAAGGTTGTCCTGGGAAGCACGTGTAACTCTGAAAAACAGTGGTGGGCAATTCTGCAGCCTGTGTTTAGGTCTGGTGCCCACAGCGCATGACCTGTCCCTGCCACTGCCACCAAAGCTTCATCCACTGCATCTGGAAAGTTCTTCTCCCACCCAGAACTCACACCCTGTGCTTTATGCTTGAATAACTTCCTTGGGTCTGGCTGCAACTGTAACCAGTTACCACTTGGAATTTAAAAAAAAATAAATTAGGTAAAAAAAATGCAAAAATGTTTCATGCATCATGACTTCAGCATAACTACCTATCAGGTTCCTATGAATTTTGCATCTGCTCGCTTTTGTGATTGTTATTTTAAGAGTTTTCCCCAAGAAAAAGTGAAGAGAGGGCACTGGAAAATACACGGGCTCTGGATGCTCCTGTCCTCTCCGGCCGGTCTGCTGGCTGTGCTTATCGCAGCCCCTTTTGTACGTGCCATTGGTGCATCTCTGGCTGGAACAGAAAAGGCAGAGGAAGAGCCCGAACACGGGGAAGTTCAGGCTTGGGGTTAGGCAGATACAGAAAACAAAACCATTTTTATGTGGGGCTCCTTGTGTGACCCAAGGGAATGAGCCTGAGGGCTCTCCCTTCGACAGCGGCATCACAAAATGCTTTGCACATCCTCTGCCTGCGGCGTTGCCCCCTTTCGCCCCGCTCCTCTGTTCTGGCCACCAAGGAAGCTGCACCAATGGTTTGCTCCAAAAGACCCATCGGGCTGTACAGTCGCCTCAGTTCAAGAGGCTGAGCGGCTTCAATGTCGTACGAAACAGAGGGTCTGAAAGATGACGCTGGGCAAAACTGAACAAACCCAGTGACTCACCTCCAGAAACAACAAAGCAAGGAAAACGCTAAACGGAAAAACAAACAAACAAACAAACAAATCACAAAAAATAAGAATGAAACAGCAGACTCAAATTAAAATGCGATAACACATGTTAAGCAGATACTCTGTTTTAAATCGAACATTGCAAAAATGACCAAAGCATGGTACCATCCTAGATTTTAATGCTGAAAAACCAGAAAACAAAAAGGCCCATCCAGGATAGAGTTCACCAGGTAAAAAAAAAAAAAAAAAAAAGAGGTCAGACAAATCTGTTCACCTTTGGTGCCTTTGGTGGAGCAGAAGACAAGCCACAGAAATCCCAAGAGATCGGTGAGGTAGGAGCTACAAACCAAGTGCAGGTAGAATATTGTAATAAAGCACTTGGAGTCAGTTGCAAGATAGATGATATCTCAACACCACTGTAATAATGAGTATATTATTAAAACAGATCCCCACGACACCGTAGCACTCGCCATCTATCAACCACAAATCAATTTGCAGCTCATTGCAGGGGTAAAGGTGAAGGTCCCTCTTCAGACCCTCCAAGCAGGCTGACACACTAAATAAGGACCCCATCTCCTATGCCTAAGAAATGACATTTTGCAAGTGATGCAATAAACTAAACGTTTCTTTGGAGCTCAGTTGAGGAAAATGGTGAGGAGAGAAGAACTGCAGGCACAGGAGCACACAAACTACAAGTGCACGTTGTATTTGGTGGAGGTGGAGAAGCGGATACATGCCCAGGGAGTATGGAACAGCCTGGAAAGAGACTTTGGGGAAGAGATAGGCTCTCGGTCCTTGACGCAGGACTGACATGGGAAAGAAGTAAAACAGCAAGTGCAGCACCTGGCTGGTGAAACAGCAGAACAACCAATACGACTTTTCACCAGACTCAGCCCCAGGATGGCTTTATCACCTCTGTGGGAGGTGGACAAGCACATCAGGAACATGAACACCACCGCTAAGGAAATGCAAGTCACCATGTCCTCTGCAAAAACCCCAGAGACCTGTTTTGATTAAGGCAGGTACGGAAAACATTGACATTTCCAGAACATCAACCCATGCTGTTAAGAGAAATTAATTTTCACTTATAAAAACAAAATCAAATTACAAAATTTTTCAAAAAAATTATTCCTTAGGAGAAAAAAATATATAAATTGATAGGATAGAGCCACCTTTGCAAAAAATATAAACTGATAGGGTAGAGGCACCTTTGCAGCAGACCTTCGGTGGCTCAGTCCCAGTTTTTCCCAGCCCCTGCTCACTACCTGCTTAAGGGCACCCAAGCTCTCCAGTTGTTTTCTTGCTGAGGTGATAAATTTCGTATGACAGAAATCCCACTTCCAAGCATGTCCACCACTTCTTCATTCCTGGCATGTCCAGCTCAGAATCACACCAAAGGCTTGATCTGACAAGTCTTGCCACCAACACGGCACCTGATTCATCTTCAGGACCACTGTGCAGCTTGAGAGCACAAGAATCAAAGAAACGGTTGACATCTGGGTGACAACCACAAGTCCTGCTCTATTGGCTGGAGATATCTATGGGATAGGTCCTGCAAAGCCGAAAGCTGAAGCTGCCAAGCCCATTTGAATTTCTCTGTAGAATTATTTATGTATTAAGCAAATTGCTTTGGCGTGTATTCATTAAATAGCTCCTGGACCATGAGCCAGCAATCCATCCACACACCTATTCCTGTCTCACAAAGCACCTAACTTCTCCTTTGCCTTCTTTGCATCTGTCGTCAAGCTATCGCACCTTAAAGACAATTTTTCCCAAACTAAAGCCCTGCGAGCTCCATGAGTGGCCTCGTAAGCTCTTCCCTGGCACTTAAGCAGAGAGAAGAAGGCACGAGGAGGTTGTTAGGCGATGCTCGATGTCACCGTCGTTAGTAGAGGTGGAAGTGATGGACTGCACTTGCAGATGTGCTCATTCGTAAGCCTAATTACCTGCCTGGACAAATGTGGCAGGCAGGGATCTGGGCAGGTAGAGTTTGAGGCAAAATAAGCAGAAATCTACCATTTTTTACTCACTTCCAATTGTGGTCACAAAACTGGCCCTGTGATATTGAAAACCAGGTGAAAGCCTGGTGAAAAATCATGGAATAAGGTAATTTTAAGCAACTAACAATGGAGTGTGAAATATTAGCTCCATTAAAGTGTGAGTTTTTTCCTGATTTCTAAGAAATCTTCACATGTGCTAAATGCTTTTTGGTTAAAAAAAATGGAGAAAACAAGCATCATTTTCTTGCATTTTTAAATAACAGTACCAGGAAAATTCATCAAAGAACAAGAGCATATATCCTCATTTGACTTCTTTTCAAGACTGGACTAGAAATCTTCATAAGAAAGGATTATATTTACAACTGACAAGCAGACAGAGCATAGAGAGAAGTTGATTAAAGCAGAAATGACAAAATAAAACAGTAAGAAGAATAAAATAGGCAAATTATTAAACTGGACTAGAAATCTTCATAAGAAAGGATTATATTTACAACTGACAAGCAGACAGAGCATAGAGAGAAGCTGATTAAAGCAGAAATGACAAAACAGTAAGAAGAATAAAATAGGCGAATTATTAATATTCTTTTCCTTTGCATATAATGAACTGGCTCCATTTGGCCTATTGGTTTTGATGGAGTGGATTAAACTCCCAGGAGTAAGGGTCTCAAGAGATTTACACTGAGAGAACAAACAGGGATCCTGCTGCATTTCAGATATTTTGCAATAAAATCCAGCAGGAAATGCCTTTTCCTATGCTTGAGCTTCTCCAGACTTTGGAGCTCTCCCTTGCAGAAGGGGTCTGGAAAAAATCAGCAGCTCTCAGTGAAATGCACGACCAAGTTTTTTGATGCTGGTAATCCTGATGCTAAAATTCCAGAGGAGGTAAATGAACTTTTAAGAACATACTTTTCAGTAAATCCATTCACAGTTCGAACACCGGCCCGTAATCCCAGGCAGGCAGAGCTCTGCACTGACCTCAGCAACATCTGGACAAGTATTTCCACCTACACATAAATTTGTTCACTTCAGTTTAGATCAGTATATATGCAAGGTGAGCCTCAAGGCAACGTTTTCTAAGGATTTTCTAAGGATTCACAGAATCTGGGCGTACGTCCACATCCGTGCAGAAAAGCCTGCCCCTGGAAATGCAAACCGACATTTCCAGCTACAACCCAGCAACTGTTCACATATGTGATTTTATCCAACCCAGCACTCTTTGAAACAACCAAGAAAAAGCATTCAAGCACATTTTTCAGTCTGATATTTAGGAAGATGGCTTTACACTTAAGTCTTTGAAGCAGAGATCACTAAAGGATAGTCAACATCTTGCACGCATCCGTATCTCTCATAATTAAAAATACAAAGTGAAACGTTAACACTTCACCTGGTGAAATCTATCATAGGGCAGCTTAAAAAAATTCCTTTAAAATACAATTATTGATAGCAAGGCAAAAGAGGAGGCATTACAAAAAAGGGGAAACTGAAAGAAATACTTAAATTGAACCCATGGTTAAGTGACCAGCGCTGAAGTATTCAGTCAACCTAAAGCCCTGTCAGTAACAGAGATGGTATAAAAGGGCTCACAGAGTACGATGGGATGCTCCACTCAAACAGACATATATTGACACTGAAATACAGAAGCCAAACAGTAATGTCTCCAAATAATAAAATAATGCTTACGCGGCTATGGAAATATTAGCTGCGGACATGGGGCTGACTTCTGCCACTTCCTTGGCCTTTTGCAGGGCGAGCTTTTGATTGGTGGCCTCCTCCATCTCCTCCTCGTCCTGGTGCAGAAAATCGAGAGCAATCAGAGCATACACCACGTAACGACAGTAAGCAGAGCTCCCCGAGGCCCCAGCCATATGTGACTGTCACTGGCGTGCCACGAGAACAGTGGAAACTCGTTAAAATAAAGCAGAATTTCAGAGCTTCTTGAAAGAACCCCTGGGCAGAGTCTTAGTTCCAACAACAGCTGGTCAAGATGAGAAATGCAAGGTTTGGTCAAGTGCTTGGGGCATTCTTCCGAAGATTACATCTCCCTTTCAAAGCTTTCTTACCTCTCTTGGCCTCCTTTCTATCATTTCACATTTGGGTAGGAGATCGTGGCAGGGCAGGGCGAGACCTGACTACAAGAGTGACACCTCTGGGGTGAGGTGAGCCCCATTTATTTTAGATCTGACTGTGTTAGGACACCCTAAAGCCTACATCCTACTGAAATGCATGAGACACTCCTAAATCCTTCATGACTTCTTGCCAGAGTGACTTTTCGGAAGCAGTAAGTCCAATAAACACTGGATTTGACCAGTCCTGCTCACACCAGATTTACCCCAGATATTTCCACTTATTGTAGCTGAGTCACTGCAGACATAGAGGGTGAAAAGAGAAAGGAGAAGCCATAATGAAGAATAGTCCGTAGGCACATTGATAGCTTAGATCAGGTGGATTTTTACTCTCTATTGGCATTGTGAGTTCCCACAGAGTATAAATGTGATTTATCTCCTACTACCTGGTGTAAGGACAAGAGAAAAACTGGCTCAGGTTAAAAGTACAGGACCTTAAGCAATGAGATGAGGGCAAAAGGCAAAGAAACAGCCTTGGTTCATTCTCAGTGGCCATCAGGGTTAAGATTCCTCTGAACTTTCAAGTCAATTTAGTCAGCAGAATCCTGGCAGGACAAATGTAGCCCCTCTGACAGCAGCACCGCACGTGCTGAGGGAGCAACGTCGTGTCAAGACGAGAGCGGTCACAGGCTCTTCTGGCAAACTTTATGAAATGCCACGGCTCTACCTCTGCTCTTCACGGGCGAGGCTGTGGAACAGTTATGTTTACAATACCAGACAGCAAGACGTCTAGTTTTGCAGTAGGAAGTCATACGGATTTATCCATCTTGAATACCATATGCACAAAAAATTCCTTGCTTTGATTTTGGCTTTATTTGCTTAAACAGAACTCATTTTGAAGCTGTTTTCCTTTTCTCCTTTAGAAGGAAAAATAAATGATAGAAAATTATTTTTTTAAAAAAAAACTTGTTACCATTAAAGTTTCAAACAGTTGTGTGGTTTTTTTCCTTTTCAAATATTAGCAAATCTATAACAAGTAATTTCTTACTGTAGTGAAAGAACCTGAAACAGGTCATGGAAAAAATCCCTGCTGAAAGATAATGCAAAGTCAGTATTTCTCAACTGCCAACTTCCAGTAAATTTATCAACTGTTTGGAAGCTTGCTGCAAATCAAGGGTATTTGCAGAATATGAAACTTCCGCGGAATAAGGCCCTCAAATAAGAAGGCTTTTAATGTTTCCTTTTCATTCTGCAGGTATCTTCAAGTTGTTTCTTCTCTTGAGGACTCTCTAGCAGTGTTAAAATCACATACATTCAAAGGCTCTTGATTTTTCTTTCTGTGCACCTACAGCACCAGGTGCAGTTTTTACCACCTCTCTTAAAACTTGTAGCTTCAACTACATTCTCTCCAGTGCATCAGTAATTCTGCTGGATTCAACACCTCAAAGCAGCAGCAAAAATATCTGTTGTCATTATAAACGCAGCCATCTCTGACCCTGAAAAAGCGTTCTTTAGCAGATGACAGCTTAATAATATTTCTGTAGCTCTTTCCTCTCAGAGATTGCAGATCACTACAAAAATTAAGTACGTTTTCGCCCCATACCTGCGCTGCCAGGTGGGATAGGCTCATCTTGTTCTGCTTGAAGCATGCAGTGAAGACAGCTCTGAGCTGTGTTGAGAACATCCGTCCATCCATCCATCCATCCATCCATCCCATCTCCCATCAACAGACCAGACTGTCACCATCATTACAGAGGAGCGCATCGCGACCATCACTTTTATGTTTCTTTTCTGTTTTCTAGAGCTCTAAATCTTCATTTAACCCACAGAAGTTATCACATGGTAAAACCCATCTCCAGGGCTACCCGTAGCGATGGGCATAGTCAACACAAAGGCAAGGAACAAACTGCTCTGTGTCATCAGAGGTGTGGGATGGTCAGTGGAAAAAAAAATTTAAAAAGCAAATCTTGAGGACGATTTTAGGTCCACTCTGAATAAGCGACTGGGAACAAAAACCTGCAAATGTATGGAAAAAACTAGAGGGCAGACAACCCAGATAGATTCAAGACAGTTCTGAGAAATCACAAGAAATTAATTCGCCAGAGTTGAAGTCAGTGAGAGGCAACACAGGAAGAGTAAAAGAGAGACCTGGGGAGGGAGAAACAGAGCCCAGAGAAGAGTCTTTATATAGTCAAAGCAAATAAGGTAACTTTTTTGTCCCCCTAAAAAAATGAGTCATTCCAAAGTAGCAAACATCAGGGGATCAAACTTAAATTTAGTTACATTTCTGATAGCTGGGCCTTGTGATCTGCAACAAAAGTTGAGGTCACTAAGGAATGTTCAAATGCCATGATCAAGGAAGTCCAAATTAGCATCCAGAAGTGAAACTGTTGGTTGAAATGTTTCAGTCATGAGGGCTAGCTGGGAAGCTTTCTGTCCTCCCAAAACAGAGGCTGTTGCAAACTGCTCATGGTTTTCCCACATTATATGCAGCATTTACAGCGTAAATGTCAAGAAAGTCTCCAGAGATCAACTGACTCCCGAGTAACTTAATTATATCTCCGGGCCATTTTTTGGTTTTGCATGATCATATTTACCTAGCAATAAATCCCTCATTCTCCAGGTACGCTGTATAATTGAATTACTTTTATCTTTTACCCCCTCTTTTGAAAGCCCTAGTGATTTTTTGGGATCGTAAATAAAATTAAAGCAAAAAAGGGTTTCTCGAGAATCTTTACGATTTGGCAATGCTGCTTAATCCATCAATATTTAATCATACTTTATAAACATCGCCAAACTCAGGTTTCTAACCACCCCAGTCAGCTGCTGAAATATTCACAGGAAAGCACTAAAAGGATTAAGAAAGAAGTAGGATGAGCTTCATTATCTAAGAATTACGTTGGGCCTGATCCTGTCTCTTAGCACATGCAAAGGATGCCAGTAAATCTCCTAAGGAGCCTGGGAAGATGTTTGCCTCCGGGCTGGAGAGTTCTGTGGGCTTTAGAAAGAACATAAACAGCTGAGCTGCTACAAGGGAAAAACTTCCTGGGACAAAAAAAGGAAAAAACCCAACACTGAGAGCCATTAAACATAGCTCTGAGCTGCGTTATAAGAGAGGAGAGATGCAGAACACGGTCTCAGAGACATCAGAACACCTATTACACACCTGAGAGCCACCAGCCACCTGTACGGCCTGCGATAGCTATCGGCAGTCGGGAAACAAGGCTCCGTGTTCAAAGCTGGAAGCTGAAGCCAGTCATGGAGCTCCACGGCAGAAAAAAAGAGAGCTGGCAAAGAGCAGCTCAGCTGCAGAGATGTGGATTTTAACTGGGAAGGGTTGGCTGCTTTGGTCTTCAGCAGCTGGTGGAAACTCCGAGGAACCTCTGTGTCCCTCAAGCGCAGAGTTACATCGTGTACCGCTGAACCATTGCACCTTTCTACAACTCTAAAAAAAGAGAAAGCACCCTTGCCCGCTGCTGCATAAGCACATGCTTAGTGATCCTCTTACCCTCTAAGGAGTAGATAAGCTAAAGCTTTTAAATTACTGCAGCTAAGGTGGATTTGGGGCTTCTTTGGCCACTCTAGCAGATCACTGTGACTTACGGCGATGGCAGAAGCACAGAGACAGTGTGTGCCTGTTTTTATCCACTCGGTGAGAACAAGCTAGAAACGTGCACACAAAACCTAATGCTGCCTCATAAATAAAACTGAACATGCTACAACAAGAAATCAAAAGTATGTCATAACATGAGGACAAACTGCAGCACTTGCAACCCTTCCTGCGCAATGCCAGGGCTCCAAGTTTTTCTTTGTAGAGAATGCTCCAATCCAAATCTGTGCATGCAAGTGAAGTCACATCGGTGTCATTTCCAACTCTTGCCAGGACCTGGCTTTTTGCCTGCACTTGGGCTGGTGCCTCAGATTTCTCCTGCACCTGGTGACAGGCAGGAAGGTTATAAACATCTTCCCTGAGTGTTCATAATAGACTCTGCAAGTTGTTTTCCAGAGAGTCGATTGAAGAACGTTAATTCTTTGATTCATCCCGAAACTCAGCAAGGTATGAAACATTGGTGTGAGACAGCAAAAGCAGCAATGCGACACCTGCCTTTCCCCACGTCTAAGCCTAAATTCAGCCAAAACCCGTTAATTGCTTCGCCTCTGCTCTTGGAAACAGCAAATGTTACAAATGCCTGTGCACCTCTGTGCAGCAGCAAGATGAGCAATGCCCATTGCCTGCTCCGTATTCAAATGAAGCTTGAGAATACGAAAGAGTTCACTGAAACAAACCTGAAAAGAAATAAACCTGAACAAGAGCAAACCTCCAGGTGTATCTGCAGTGCAAACTAGTAAAGAGCAATACTGCATGAACGGGCTCTAGAGGAAACCTCAGGGTGTCTGGAAAGGAGATAACGTGCTTTAATCCAGTGACTGCGGTCTAGGTTTGAAGAACCAGAAATCTCACACATACCTTGGTCAGCTCTTGGGCATTTGCCAGATTGTCGACAGCGATAGCCAAGAAGACATTCAGAAGCGTATCTTTTGGTGAGCAGCTCAGGAAAAAAAAGTCTTCACAAGGTAGATACAGTAAACAGTTACCCTTCTGAGGCCGCTCCCCTTCTTTCCCCACTTACAATCATCAGTATATTATGGATTCACTCCTTGCACCACTGCTTTTCTTTTAATTTCTAACACGCTTACCTCTCGTGGGAGCCCACTCTGCAGCCCAGCAGGTGCCAGACACCCACTTCTCTCTTCCCAGCACATAGCCCTGGTGAGCACCAACACCCATGCTGAGCAGATGGGCTTTACAACAGTAAAGGTGCAACCAGTCTGGAATCACCCAGTGGCCCTAAAGACACAACGACCCCCCATTTTACATTCCAGAAAATCCATGCATACACTCCTCCCCATACACACACAAAGAGGATTGCACCTTCATCCTTCCTCTCTTGTTTAAAAGGACAGCTGGTGGAGCTCCTGGGAATTGGTCATTTTTAAAGTCAAAATTTGCATAATATAGACATTGAGCTATATAAAGGCATCAGGTACTATGAAAAAGTTAAGCTTAGGTCACTTCTGCGTTATGTACTGATGAGAAGAAACTATCATGACTTATTACACTGAGGTTGATATGACAATTAGAGCGTCACGGACATTTTGCATCCTAAATCCTGCAGCATCACGCAGAGCACAGCTACAAAAGAGCCTGTTAGCAAGACAGCCAGCCCGAGCTAATGAGCTCTGCTGGGAAACAGGCTGTTAGTCCAGGCCAAATTGCATGTAGCCCAGCTAAACTACCACCAGTGCCCACGCGAGCCTGGGTCTCTCCACAGAGCACTGCATTATATCACTAAGACATAATATTTCCCTATAATTATTTATTCTTTTTTTTATTTTCATTTTTTCCACTTGATGATTTCAGCTATTCCTTGTTCCTTCATACATTTCATTGTTGTTATTCCACTATACATCTACAAAACAGCCCCAAACCAACTGCAAATCAGATGCCTTTGCATCTAGAAGACTCTCCAAGAAGAAAATGCATTTTGCTTTTGCACATTACCTGGTGTCAGGAGACTCACTCACTCCAGCGCTGTATAAAGGTACAACTGCTCTAAATAGGAAAGCACATGAGAACAAAGCTGACCTCGTGAGCATTTACTCTCTGGAGATTTACAAAGGCTTTACCAGCACAATGCGCTGCCACTGTCCTCATCAGAGCCAAATCCCAGTTTGGGACCAGATACGGGTCCCCATAAGCTGAGTGAAATGACTGCAGCAGTTCTGAAACAACTAACCCGGTTATTTTCTGCAGGGTTAGCATGTCCCCTGTTTGGGACTGGAAGCAATGCCCGAAGCGATGCCACAGCCAAGGCAGGTCTGAGGGGTGAGGGCAACGTGCTGGGTGTTCAGCCCAGTGAGGGGAAGCGAGAACTTCCGGCATGCTGGCAAACCTGCCACAGGGATTTGGGAAAACCTCAGTGTCCCTCTGTTGCGTACTAGTTCTCAGAAAGACGCCTGGAGGAGGCATCTGAGGTTTCTCTATAAAGAGAGGAGGCAGGAGTGGTGCAAGACTAGCTCACCGGCTGCGGTCAGCTCTGCCGAGGAGGAGTGTGCCCAAAACTCTTTAAGGTCCTTCCAACCCAAACCATTCTATGGTTCTAAATCCTTGTGCTGGATGAAGCAGCCTCCAGGCAGCGGGTGCTGTGGGACCATTGCCCCCCCTTGGCACGGCATCAGGAGACTTCCCAGGGCAGGCAGGGACCAAAGCCGGCCCGGACAAGCAGCTCAAAGCGTCTCCGCTTTTCCTCTCAAGAGCTTCCACCAAGCATAATTCAACCAAGGATTCAGAACCAGATGTTCACATCTCTAAATCCCATGCAGACGAGCATCTCCAGAGCCTGAAAGCCGATCAAAACTGGAGCTTCTGCTCATGAAAGCGGAAAGCGGGAGTTGTATTTAATCTCTTAGGATGCATCCGCATCCTGACTGCCAAACCCTGCAGGGGATGGGACATAGAGCCCTGGGGTTTCTCCAGGCAAAGCCCAGGTCGTCCATCAGGTGTCCTCCATGTCATGTAACATGGGATGGAAGTTTTTATCATGGGAAGATTATTTCTTTGTGACAGAGAGAGGTTTGAAATGTGATGCGCATCAATCGCTCCTTCCTCCCTTGCAGCAGGACAGTGAGGAGCGTGGAGTGGGACCACCTCAATCCCAGTGAGGCCAGAAGATAAAGAGCAAGAAAAAGGGAAAGATGACACTGAAACTGTCACCTCCCTCCCACGCTGCAGTCAGAGCTCAACCAACTTCTCATTTACAAAGATTCCCTTTTCCTCCCTTCCTTTTTACCAAGGGCAGGGAGGCTGAGGCAGCGCCGCCCGTCGCGGTGCCGGCTCTTTGGGTTTCTTCCTCTGGGGTGCTTCCAACGCATCAGAAATACTTCCAAGCCTCCTGCTCGGGGAATAAATGTTTCGGTAATAAAACTGTCTTCCTACCCCTGCCTCCTACACACACATGCTGAAATGTCTTGTGTAACATAATCAACCACTGGAAATATAATTAATATTTTTTTTTAAACAGATCAGGCTGGTTTGATCCATCTCCAGGCAGACCCAATCTGGCAGACTTAGGCATTTCTGCTCTTCCAAAAGGTCCCTCAGCCCTTTCTGTAGAGCTCAAGGATCCCCAAATATTACCCAAACTTGAGTCTCTGCTCCAGGCTGTATGACCTGGGCAGACCCTGGACCTCACTGCCCACCCAAGCCAGCAGCCAGTGCCAAGAATTTTTCTCCTGCATGATAGCTAAGGGCAAGGGGAAGTGCATTTGCTGCTTCTCATTTCAGGTTCCTCTGTAGTTTTTCATGGCTTTTTCCTTTTTTTTTTCCCCTCAGCAGATGCATCAATTTATCAATTAATCGGATAACAATGAATACAGGCATGGTACAATTTCCTAGCAAATGGGCCAAATCCTGCTGTCACTCTAATCACACTACTTTCATTAAGCCTTTTCAGATGCAAAGGTCTGGCTCCACACAGGCTCTCTGGAACTGGGAATGTAACTCACAAAAATAAAGTTTCTGGATTTTTTTTTCTATGCAGTAGTCTCTAAAAAAATAAATGGATTCAAAGAACCAAGTGAGCTGCAGGGGAAGCTGGCAGCCACCCGCCTTTCTCCTTCATGAAAAAGAACAACCACAATGGCCTGAGCACTTCTAGGACAAGAAAGGAATCCCTCGTGCTTAAAAAATTTCAGGTTTTACAAGCTGACCTAAAATCGCCAATTCTCTAACAAGATTTGATCCAGTCTGCCTGAACTCTTACAAGTGGACTCACCAAATGTCAGTGTTCAAAACCTGAAAAGAAAACTCCTTCCAGCACAGGAACCGACATGTCTTTTGCTGACCCAGAAGGGCTTAGACTGGTTTCTAGGGCACTGGTAAAAGAAAATAAAACCAAAAAGCTCCACTTTAGAAATTCAGCCATGGTGAAAGTGTGCATATGGAGGGCTGGCAGCAGATCTACACTTGTCAAACAAACAAACAGAAATCCACTGCATAAAAAAAAGTGTATTTTTGAAGATTTTTGTAAGGCAGATTGGGGAGACCCTTGTGAAGTCCCACATTAGACCAGAAAAGACTGTTTGCATTCATCTCATTGATAATTAAAGAACATCAACAACTAGGACTGCTCTCTGTAAAGTGTCCTCTTGGTGTTTACTGGGCTGTGGGGCTCTCCTTGGGAAGGTGCCCCTCGGGCACGTACCTCACCCTGCTCCTCGCCTTCATGTCCTTAACGTTGCTGAGGCAGTTCAGCATCAGTGACGCCGATGACTGTTTTGCTTCCTGCCAAAAAAGCAGGACTGTTCTTTTCTGGCAAGCTAAACTTTATTTTCAGATGTTCCCGGTTGTGTTTTGACAGTTGATGATAACTGAAGTCCCTGGTAAGTCACACAGTTCAGCTTTCCCTCAGAGAGAAATGACTGCCTGCTGCTTGCTCTCAGCAGCAAAACTGTCGCAGGGGTAGCACTGACCTTACTGAAATACCGCTGGAAATACCAGTGCCGGGGTTAGTGGGCTTAGTGCTGCAATTCTCAGGGAAAAGATTTAACCCCTTATCCTCCAACACCCACTCCTGCCTCAGTTCTCCCCTCCAGCCCACAAACAGGTTTACGTGCAACACAGAAAGGTCCATAAAAGCAGCTGATGCTTTCAGACTAAGTTTCTACGGAGATAATCCAGGCCAGGTCTCTAATACTCCAAAAGGGATGTATATCTCCATAGAAAAGAATAGATTCACTTCAAGTTACTAACTCTGGTCGCTAGCAGGTGGTGAAAGAAGTCTCCTAGGACACTGTAAAGGGTTTCTGAGTGTCGTTACTCCTGGCCAGCCAGCTCTTTCCTCCCTCTGTACTTTGTGCTCACAGAAACGCACCTGCAGCAAACTCAGCCCCAGCTGCAGGGCTTGTGGGGAATCAGAGAATCACACCCAAGACACCCTCCTTGCAAAGAATCACACCTGACACATCCCACTTGCTAAATGCACAGAGGAGGCCCCAGGGAGTGTCTAATGGCACATCACCCACGCTTGACTGCAGGCATGGGGGGCAAGAGGGGCACTGGAGGTGGTTCCCGGGGAAGCAGCCAGGAAAGTCGCCTCCTTGATCTCCTTGCCTGCGGGAAAGCAGAAAGAGAAGCCGGGCAGCTGCTCTCTGCCACGGTGATATTTGGGGAGAATGTGGGTGTGGTTTGGACTTGCCACTCTGCCAGGGCAAGCAGAGACAAATGGCAAATTCATGGCAGTGGCAATAGGTGAACCAGGTCCTTATTCCCTCCTCTTGAATATCCCCTGCTCTTTCTTTTTGAATATCCCCTGCTCTGTCCCTTTTAACAAAAACAAAAGGACAAGGGAGAATAAGAGGTACAAGAAGCGAATTTATACCCTGTTCCTCAAAAATGCTGGATCTTAGCTGCATGAAGGTTAAAAGTCTCTCTCTCAGCTCTGCTGTCAAGCCTGATTATAGCTTAATCTCATTTTCAAATGCCAAGCCCTGAGGATTTAGAAGTCTCCCTCCCTCCCAGCTCTCCATTGACCCAGTTTCTCAAAGCCTTGTGTTTCTGGAAGGGGGCATGTTGCCCGCCACGAGGCAGATGTCTGAGCAGAGCTGCCGAGCCAGCCAGAGCATCACGGCCGCCTCAGCTCTGACAGCGACTGGTAATGGGATAAATCCCGCAGAGACACACTCCTGTGACAGGCACAGCTCACACGCCGGCTGCTCCGCCGCTCCCTGTCTCCGTTCCTTGTGTTAACGGGGAGATTTCAGGCAAAGCAAAGGGCCAGAGCCCTGCCACATAGTCCACAGGCACTGACATCTCATCTCTTGTCATCCTAACCATCAGCTGAAGGGGTCTATGTCCGTAACAACTCGATGCCTTTAGCACAAGTATTTTTCCTCCACCCACAGCCTTCCCTTTCTCCGCAGTACCCAGACAGGGGTGCCAGCCCAAAAGAGACTCCTAGGAAAAGGTAAGTGCTGGGAGTAACTAGCAAGAAGGCTCACACCTGGGAAAGTCTCCAGAGAGCTCTCGAGCAGAGCAGCAACGCTCAGCGTTATTATCCCTGTTTCACAGAACGAACAAACCAGCCGGGCTCCCTCATGGACAAAACAGTTTTTAAGTTTCCATTTTTAAGGACGCTCTGTTTGACCCCACACAGCGTGTCACGATAGCCAGCAAACATCTCACACCAACAGTTCTGTACCTGGTTAATGTGAGCAACGCCACGCGACACCAGCCCGTTAGCAGCCTCCGTCACAAAGCAGGGACAGAGCCATCACAAGCATTATGCTCAGCTGGTTCTCCTAATCACACCTGGCCAATAGATCAGAGAACCTCTTTGCCTCCCCTTCCAAATCCCATCTCCATGTGACTGCTGTGTTCCTGTGCCCTTAGGTAACACAGGTCACAGAGCTGCTGGTTCCCCTCCTGCCATATTTTGGGGGGATACAAGCTCCCAGTTTCCTGCTGCCTTCAAGAGACTTTTGTGACTAAGCAGAACAAAACATCTTCATGTGTCAGGTCTTAGAACATGATCAAATACTCCCAGAGCCTGAAAGCCAGGACCTAGACTTAAGTTTAAGCATTATGTGGAGATAATACAATTTCAAGCACTTGGAATAGCATAGCTGGTTAAGCTGCCATGTAGACAAAGGTGCCAAGAAAAGGGAGCCCGATCCACACACCAAACCAATTTCAAATCTTCCTTCCCCTGACCCAGTGTAAACTATCTGTGAAGATACTCAAGGTAGAGTTCCTGCTCTGGCTTGACTTTGATCATTTTTCCGACAAATTAAATTAACTCATAATAAGGCATTCTTAAGGTATAACATGAACATTAAAATTAATTAAGTCTATGCTCACATTGCCATCAGAAAAGCAACACCAAGAGAGAAAACTTACCTACACCTCTTACTCTGGGTGCTATAAGGAGCAAAGTTTTAGCAACAATATTGTTTTAAAAAGTATTAAGTGAGGGTGTGAGAAATTAAACAAACCTAGATACTTCCCACATGCCAGGAAGGGCGCATAGCACACTGTACCACTAACGTGAGGCAATGTGTAAGGATACAGTTACCAAACAACGTCAGGACGATGAAGTAAATGGAGGAGAACATCCCCGAGCGGACACCACCCTGCGACTCGATCCCGTGGTACATCACTGCGTTCCAGTCTTCCCCCGTCAGGATCTGCACAGCAAAAGTCGAGAGAGGAGAAGAAGAAAGGGTGACTCGGAGGAAAGATGAAGCAGGTGAAGCCTGGGGCAGCCAGGCAGGTTGATGCAACCCAGGCTTGGTGTCTGGTGGACGAGCACTTTGGTGTGGCAGACTGCAGTGCTGGAGCTCAGGCTGGATGCAGCTTTCTCCTCCGGCATGGGCTGAAGAGGAGGGAGGACCATTGGTGCGAGGATCCTTGCCCATTCCTGCCTCTCTTGGTGACGTGCCTGCTGCCCACCTCTGACCGTGGGCTCTCACGCAGGCAGAGGCAGTAAATTGTTTCAACACTTCACCCCCAGCAAAATTTCTCCTGCTGCCCACCTCTGACCGTGGGCTCTCACGTAGGCAGAGGCAGTAAAATGTTCCAACACTTCACCCCCAGCAAAATTTCTTCCCTCTCCTGTTTTTAAGTCGTGCAGAGACATCAGGTTTCAAAAGCTCCGTGCTTTTCCCACAGACCTAAGAGAACTGTGACCTCCAAGGCCAGCACCCTGACCTCTGCCAGCATCAGCTCCTTTCATTTACTTTGTGCAGGAAGGGGCTGCTCAGCTGCTCCCCGAAACCCACACACCCTGTTACACACCAAAGAGTGGCAAAACAGGAGGAGAAATTCCTGCAGCCCCCTCTCATCACTCCTCTGCTCCTCAGGGCTGCAGAAGGCTTTGCCTCATGGACATTCTGCCAAGTGCCAGGCACCGGGCAGCTCAACTAACCCAAGGTTTGCTGCACCACAACGGCTTCTTTTGCGGGATTCTTGCTGGCCAAGACCACGAGGACCCTCATCCACCCAGGTAGTCACAAAGCAAACAAAAATCAAACCCCAAGCAGAAAGAATAACCACCAAATGCATACAAGTGGGGTTGGACCTCTAGAGGTCCCTTCCAACCCCTAACATGATTCTAAGTGAAGACGGATGAGGGCAGCTTGAAGGGGACTCCGTTCCTCCTGCATCCTTGTGCAGGAGCGAGCCCAGCCGCAGCCTGGCTCTGCAGAGCTCTGCTCGCTGCAGGCTCTGGATGCTGACCTGAGGCTAATTAGCAGACGCATGAATAATAGAAAAACTAATCTTAATAAGTGAAAACACCAAAGACTCAAATAAGCCTTGTCGTGCTAGACGGTAATTTTGCACCAGTCTGGACTGCCTGCCCTTCCTGCTCTTCACCCGCGGCTGTAACACGGCAACGCTTTGGGCAGAGCAGCACTTCGTCTGCCTGCCGTGCAAGAGTCAAACAACGGTTCCTTTTGGTACATTAAAACATGCCCACCGGGATGTGAAGCTCAAATTTGTAAATAGGAAGTTGTCTTTGTGTTTAGTAGAAGAAAAAAAATTGAAAAAGAAGCCCAAAGCATGATGAGTGTTGTAGTAATCAAGTCCCATGTGCATACAGCGTGCTTGAAATGATTGCAAATTCCAGACTAGTCGTCAGCAGCTGATAGAAGATTTCTTGCTGCAGGGTTGGTGCTGATGACAGCAATATGTTAAGAGCAAGTATAGACACAAAGACAGACAGTGCATACACAAATTTGTTTCCTAAATGCAGAATCTGGCCTCAAATAATTGAGAGATCAGCATTCAGAGCCCGAGCCTAACCCACACCGTTGGAGTTACTCTGGATTTACACCAGAGAATAGGAACCAGGGCACTGGGCTTTCAACTCTGGCACTCAATTATGCAAAATGCTGTTCACAAACTTGCATTCACATCATTTCCATGAATTCACAACTGTTCCCGCTTTCTGGGAATAACCCTAAAGTGATTTCTGTTCACACAAATATTCATGGAGAGGGAAAACAGTGGGAACACTTCAATGCCCTGCAGAAGACCTGAGCTCACACGTATCACAAATTACAGGCTGCCCATAAACAAGCCCAGCAGCTTGGGGTCTGGGTTCAAAAACCCCAAAGGATTATTTTAGAAGCGGAACAAAAAGTTAAAGGGGAGGGGAATAATTTTTATGGAACTTTTACAGAGACATAAATAATCAAAATTAACCAGCCTGCCTGGGCAGAGGTGAGGATGCTCTCTGAGGCCCCTGCAAGAAGACAGACACCTCATGTCCTTCCACTCTTTTTGCTGTCACCAATCGGCTGGAAGAGTTACTTAAGCAATTAGGCAGCAGCCCTCAAGGAGCAGACACATCCAGTAAATCAAAGTCGTTCTACTCTAGAAAGTCTCTGTTTGTGGATGCCATAAGAACTGCAGAAGACTTTGTTTAAGGCTGCTTCTTACACAGAGAATCTCCAAAAGGGTTAGGGATGGGCGGGGGTATCTGGCTTTATTATGTTTGTTCAACACATCGAATGCACTCACTGAAGGATGCTACTCTGCTCATTAGAGCAGCAATGAAACAAGCCTGCTGGCTTGCCTGAGTTTATGGAGGGCGAGATTAGAAGAGAATTCAAAGCCCATGTTGAAGAATTGTTGACGTGGTGTTTGCAGTTCAGGAGAGAATGGACTGGGAGCAGAGTTACTGAAATGCCTCCACGAGGCTGCACCAAGTTAATCCAGTGCTAATGAGTTTCACTGGTTTTACTTTGTAGCTCTGATGTTTTAGAAAAATGTCTTAAAACCAGCAGTGTTTTCCTTCATCCCACAGCCACTACATTACAGGGGTATTTATCTCAGGAGGAGAAAGGAAATACTTCAGCTAAGCATTCTCAAGAGACAGCTATAGTCCCAAAGCAAAATAACATCAAAATTTCCAGATGCTCATATCCAGAGCCTGACTCAGGTTCAGTTCCGGCTCTGTGGCAATACCTTTACGTTTCTTTAAGCCCTTTCCTTTGATGAGTACTAAAATACTATGCAAATATTAATCTACCAGGATTTGCAATATCCTGCAAGACAAATACTTCTGAACCTGCTTCACATCTGGAGAGAAGCAATACCCACATGAAGCTGCTGGTGCAGAGGTCACAGGGTGCGCTTTCTTTTAGATTCCTTTTCTGGTTTGAGCCAAAAAATTGGAGTTTCGTTGTGTTTTTTGTTGTTGTGGTGTTCAAACTTGGGGTCAAGTCTCAGCTTGAGCCCACATCAACAATTCCCGTAAAACAATGCTGGAGATGTCAGGCACTCTTTCATGGACCTGGCAGTGTTACCTGCACATGGAGTAGGGTGCAGCACCCCAGCTCTCTACCAAAACAACTGAAATAACCTTTTTAAAAAAGGCACGTAGAGAACAGCTGCAAAACGAGGCTCTTAAATCCGAGCACTGTCTCTGCCAGCACTGCGACTTCTCCCTGCCATCGCACAAACTTGCCCAAGGCTGATGCCTCTTTCTGCTGCTCCCCCGTGGATTGTAATTCTTATGCAGCATTATCTTATCTGGAGCTATTACCCTGCAAAATGCTACATTATTCGCTTGCTGCCTGGAGCGAAATCAGGCAGCCAAGGCAGAAAGTGGAACAGGTCAAGCGCTTGCTCGCTGTCGAGGACTTCAGACAGGACAGGTTACACGAGTTACACGGGGGTGGGGACATGCAAGAGCTGCCACAGCAGCCTGCACCTCCAGGCACGGCCTCAGGAAAAGAGAGCCTGGGCACACATAGACTTTAAGCCCGGCACCAAAATGTCTATTTTATCGATGTTCATTACCTTGCAAAAAAACCAACCAAACAATCTTTTGTTCTAGTTTTCCTTCATCCCACAGGATTGATTTTTAATGATGTGTCGATTGGTCAGCGTGGCAAAATGCATGAGAAGGCAGGACTTCCCCTTTCCTAAATTCCATGGATTTTTGGGGACTTCTTTGCCCCCCCCTCCCACCGTGAGAGCAGGAAGAGGTGTCCAAGAATTAATTTTCTGTTGCTCACCCAGGACATGGTATGTCTTTACCTGGAATACTGTGAGGATGGCAGCAGGGAAGGTATCGAAATTCGTGGTTGGTGTTTCATCTTGGAAATTGAATCTAGAGAGAAGTAAGAAATAAAACGAGAGCAGTAAGGGGCAAGCAACTCTCGTGCAGTCTCATAATACCCTGTAAGCCAACATTTCTTCCACCTGACAATGACACCCGAGGCAACCACAGCGGGGAACATGGCATGTCTGAGAAGCTGCTTAACAGAACTATTAGCAGAAACTCAATTTTGTTCCTGGAGAAAACTCTGATGCTTTGAAATCCATTTTCCCCCACAATTAAAACGAACCATCAAAATCTCAGATGATTTTGTGGAACAAATCATTCTAAGAAGTTTTTTTGTCCTCCAGTGTAAATGCCAAAATTGAAACAGCCCTCTTTGCAGATCGTTTCATTTTACTCTTTTAAAGATAGAATAGTGAAGAAAACAAAAGAGCCAGGTTATTTCATTTCAAAATTTATGCTGGAGTTTAAATGGAAATATTGTATATTTCTTGCTGGCATTTTTAATGAGGGAAAATCAGATTCAAGAAAAGTATGTTTTCCAGCAGAAAAATATTCCAAGTGAATAAATACACTGTCACCTTGGCTATCAGGGAAAGAATTTACCTTTCCCCTAGAGGAAGACAAAAAAAGCTGCCTCCCCCAGCCCTGTTTCAGAGCTCTGGGTATATATGGGGGACCATAGAATAACAGAATTCAGCTCCAAGTCAAACACCAGAACAGGAACTATTTTCCTAGAAACCAGAGACCACTTCTTAGCAGCCCAGAAGGACACCACCACCCACACCCACCATGTGGATCCTTCCATCCTCTCTGCCTTATGTAGTGCAGGTGACTGCTCTCAGCTTACCCCTGAAAGAACGATTAATGAGACTTACTGTCCTCCGAAGAGCTGCATTCCCAGCAGAGCAAACACCACAATGAACAGGAAGAGCAGGAAGAGTAAACTGATGATGGACTTCATGGAGTTCAGCAAGGAAACCACCAGGTTCCTCAGGGAATTCCAGTACCTGCGTTGAAGAGCCACGAAGGGACAACATAAGTGGGAGAAGGGCCTTGGGTGAGAAAATAAAAAGATCTATGTTCCTGTTATGAAAAAGGAAAAGAACAGTGAGGAACATCAGCATCCTTATCCTCCCTCCTATGACTTGCTGAATGGCAGAACCTCCCATAGCATCGCAAGGCTGGGGCTGGGCGCCTCGGTGCACATGCCCCCATGCAGAGCAGTCGTCTGCAGTGAGAGTGTTTGATCCAGTTTCCCAGTAACCCCTCCCTCAGTACAGATTTCAACCTTTCTGCATCCTCTAGGGCAACCAAGCTGGTGAAGGGCCTGGAGAACAGACCTTGTGAGGAGCGATTGAGGGAGCTGGGTCTGTTCAGTTTGACGAAGAGGAGGCTGAGGGGGGACCTCATCATGCTCTACAATTACTTGAAAGGACATTGTAGAGAGGTTGGTGCTGGTCTCTTCTCACAGGTAATTAGGGACAGAACCAGGGGGAATGGTTGCAAGTTGCAACAGGGCAGGTTTAGGCTGGACATTAAGAAGAAACTCT